AGGATCATCGGGCGACTCTGCGAGGATCACCAGGGCATCCTCGTGCACATCGTCGATTAACATCGAAATAATATGAAAATGTCCCACGACGTTTGCACATCCGACAAAACAAATACGAATTAATACGAAGTAAATGAACCCTCGGACAGACACGGTCCTTCGTTCAAGAATCACTTAGAGAGAACTTACCGGCATTCAGGAAGCGAGTGTTGGTGGTAACGACCGCGCTGTAGGTCTGCGGGGAATGCACGACAGGCTGGTTGAGGATGATCTGGTGCTGATGCTGCTGCGGGGTGTGATGGGGCTGTTGCTGCTGCGGCTGGTGATGTTGCTGCGGCTGCGAGTGGTGCTGCGGGTGATGATGGTGGGACAGGTGGTGGTGCTTCCCCTTCGTCGGCATACTCATCGCAATCGTGGGCCTTCCTCGTGCGAACTGTCCTTAGAAACCTGGTACCTCACGCGAGTCGCACTCATAGGTACGTTATTTTATTCGGCCACGTACCGCTCGAGCTTCCACGCCGACCTTGGGAAGATAAATAATCCCGCGATGCGAGGAACGATCACGCGTCCGGACCGTGCCACGCAACGCGATCGGCAACGCGATCCTGCAGAAACGATCGAAACGATCGAGCCGAGCCGAGCAAGAGCGCGCGCGCGCGCTCCCGCACTCCCTCGAGTTCGCTCGTAGTCGTCACTCGATAAATACGATTTCGCGCGTGCACAGCGAGGGACAACGGGGGAAAAAGGATCGCACACTTCTGTCCACCGTATATCGGCCGTCCGCGATGTATCCCGCCGCGCGACGATCCTCCGTTTTTCGCGGTAATACCGCGAAACTCGCGATCCTCGCTCGATCGCCCGCGCACGAAACAGTGCCAGAGAGAGGAACGTTTCGCTCAAGCGCGATCTCTCTTCGCATAATCAACCGCGTTCGCCTGGTTCGCCGGCCAAAGTCAATGAGGAAGAGATGGGAAGAGAGCAACGTTTTATTGTGTATATATACCAATGCCGCCAACGCGCGACCACGCCGTCACGAATCACGAGACTCAAACTGTAGTCTGTAATGCCGTTACCACGCGTACTTACTCGATCGTTCACTCGGTTCTACTGATACTGCCTGATACTGCCTGTCCGACGCGACGTCGCGACGTTCGTAATGACGTAGGGGAATGACCACGCTTCCGAGCACTCGACGTTTCCGCCATCGACGCTGACCCTAGGAGATGGTGAACTCTCGCCGACCTAGGGAATTTGCCATTTTTTTTTGTTGACAATGATCTGGTGATCGATTCTGTATCTTCAATCAAGGTGAAAATTACAAAAGTGAGTAAATTTACTAGACTACTGATAATTTCATTGGTCAACGCCTAGTAAATTTGATTACTTGTAATTTTCACCTTGTTTCAGGATACAGAATCGATCACGTGGGGCTCTAATCTTGAAAAGAAACGTATACGAAAGTCTAGGGAAATACTATAGTATACGTAACGTATACTGTAGCATTTCCCTAGATTTTCGTATACATTTCTTTTCAAGAATAGACGAAAGTCTAGGGGAATGCTACAGTATATGTTACGTATACTATAGTATTTCCCTAGACTTTCGTATACGTTTCTTTTCAAGAATAGAGCCCCTGAACTCTGTTCGCGTTGCTTGCACTTTTTGCACTCCACATTTTCGCTCTCTCTCTTTTCAAGGCCAAATATATACCTATTTCATTTTAAGTGCAAAAGTATTTGGAGATTTCATGTAACGCGAACAGACCCCTGTTCGCGTTGTTTGAAATCTCCAAAATTTTTGCACTTAAAATGAGATAAATGTAGTGGCCCGTATTCAGAACGCGCTTTTATCGATAAAAGCGCACTTTTATCTCTGAAATTCTATAATATGCGTGACGTAGG